CCTGGGTAGATTTTGGGTCATTTACAAAATCCTCGGCTTCCTGCATGCCATCATCCTAGGAGAGAAGTTGCTGGAAGCAGTACTGTGTCAGCTTCCTCCCCCAAGGGGTCCAGGCTTCTGCCTGATGCAGTGTCACCCCTTCCGTGGGCTGTGGCTGGACGTCCACGGCAGTCGCCCGTGTGCAGTGTGCGACTACGGAAATAAAGGTCAATGAGGAATCTGTAAGTTGCCTGGCCCAGTCCCACGGTCGGCTCTGTGTGCCCGCCTTCCAGAGCGAGGCCCAGCCCGCGTGTCCTGGACCGAGGGGTGCCACGGCAGTTCTGTTTCCGTGTGGTGGCCTAGCTGCTCCCGGTGCCCCGTGGCTGTCATGGGCTCTGCCGATGACCCTGACCGTCCCCCATGTCCCCCCGTAGGTCAGCAGGCGCCTCCTTGGTAAGCCCCAGGACGCACTGGAGGGCGTCGTCCTCAGTGTAAGTGGTGCCGCCCACGGGGGCCGGGACAGGCGTCGGGGTGGGAGGTGCCCATCTGCCCGCAGAGCTCTTCGCCCCCCCACTGGATCGGGCTGCTTTTCTTTCCTAAAGTAGAATTTGCTGCCTGAGGCCCAGCCTGGGATAAGCTGCCTCCTGGGGCCAGCCCAGGGGCTCAGGAGGCACACGCTAGCTGCCGAGTCAGCCCCAACTGCCCCGTTCCCTGGCAGCCCAGCCTGGAAGCGCGCGTGCGAGACATTGCCATTGCGACAAGGAACACCAAGAAGAACCGGAGCCTCTATAGGAACATTCTGATGTATGGGCCTCCTGGCACCGGCAAGACGCTGTTTGCCAAGGTGAGGGCACACGGCGGCACAGGTGCGGGGGGTGCCGTGCTGCGGCTCTGGGGAGTGGGTGCGGGGCATCAGGAGCCACGTGGTGGGGCCGGCTTTCCAGGCGAGGGGCATCCCCAGGGGCACTGGGCAGTGGGGCCTGAGTACGGTCTGTGCAGGCTTTGGGGGGGACGAGAGTAAACACCCTTTGCCCTTTCTTGCCCAGAAACTCGCGCTGCACTCGGGCATGGACTATGCCATCATGACAGGTGGGGATGTGGCCCCCATGGGGCGGGATGGCGTGACTGCTGTGCACAAGGTCTTCGACTGGGCCAGCACCAGCCGGCGAGGGTGAGCCGGGTCCCTTCTGGGGTGGCCCCCCATGTGCATGCGTCTGCGTGGCCTGGGTTCCTGGCACCAGTGGGCTGCAGATGGCTGGGTGGGAGGGTGTGTCAGTGACTTTCCCCACAGTCTGTGCCTGTGGGCGTGCACAAGGCTGGAACAGCTCTGTGGTCTGGGGTGGGGGTCTGAGGGAGAAATTCACCCCAGGTATAGATTCCTGGGGGCCTGTGCTCCTCCCAGGAGTCTCTGACTTTAAAGAGGGGCTGACTTTAAAATTTTTTTTTTTTCAACGTTTATTCATTTTTGGGACAGAGAGAGACAGAGCATGAACAGGGGAGGGGCAGAGAGAGAGGGAGACACAGAATCGGAAACAGGCTCCAGGCTCTGAGCCATCAGCCCAGAGCCCGACGCGGGGCTCGAACTCACGGACCGCGAGATCGTGACCTGGCTGAAGTCGGACGCTTAACCGACTGCGCCACCCAGGCGCCCCAAAGAGGGGCTGACTTTAAAAACACTGGGGAAAGAAAGGCGCCTGGGTGGCTCAGTCGGTTGAGCGTCCGACTTCAGCTCAGGTCACGATCTCACGGTTTGTGGGTTTGAGTCCTGTGTCAGCCTCCAAGCTGTCAGCACAGAAGCCTGCTTGGGATTCTGTGTCTTTCTCTCTCTCTGCCCCTCCCCTGCTCATGCTGTCTCTCTCTCTCTCTCTCTCTCTCTCTCTCTCTCTCTTAAAAATAAAATGGGTGGGGTGCCTGGGTGGCTCAGTTGGTTAAGTGTCTGGCCTCGGCTCAGGTCATGATCTCACGGTTTGTGGGTTTGAGCCCTGCATGGGGCTCTGTGCTGACAGCTCAGAGCCTGCGGCCTGCTTCGGATTCTGCATCTCCCTCTCTTTCTGCCCCTCCCCCGGCTCGTGCTGTGTGTCTTTCTGTCTCTCAAGTAATAAACGTTAAAAAAAAATTTTAAAAACTGCAACACTGAAGATCAGGGGCTGCCAGCACTGGTATTTAATTTAGTGCCAAATTAGCATGTTTGGCACAGTCCGGTCGCTGTCCTGCCATGCTGGCATGCAGCGTGCCCCTGTTGGGTCTGGAGTCCCAGACGCTGCTGAGAGCAGCCTGTGCTCCTGGTTCGGTTTCCGTGTGCACAGCCCCTTAGCGTTCCGGCTGGGCAGCCTCACCCATCCTCGTTCAGTCCTAAATTCCCCTCCCCTCACAGCCTCCTGCTCTTCGTGGATGAAGCAGATGCCTTCCTCAGGAAGCGAGCGACTGTGAGTATTCCGGAAGCTTCCGTGTGGCCTGCTGGGTCCAGCTGGCCGTAGGTGAGCAGTCAGGGGTGGTGTGTCCAGTGGCCGCGTCTCTGCTTTGTGGGGAAGTTGGTGTCCCCTCCCCCCCCCCCCCGACTGAGTCTGACCCAAACCTCGTCCTCAGCTGCACTTTCTTCATAAATCTGGCCTGAAAAGCAGGAGTTACGTGTGTGGCATTTTTAGAGTCTTTTCTTGAAATTCAGGGTCATGGAGACACTGGCATGTGTGGCTCCTGGAGGGATGGAGTGGTGCCTGTGTTTAACTTCCCCCTGGAAGCCTTTGCCTGATGCCGGGACTTTTTCTGCAGGAGAAGATAAGCGAGGACCTCAGGGCCACCCTGAATGCATTCCTGCACCGGACAGGGCAGCACAGCAGCAAGTGAGGGCCACCTTCTGGTGCGAGGCCCCTTCACAGAGGGAAACTGAGTCTCCGCTTGAGCTCATAGGGCTGCTGTGGGGCAGGGCGGGCACAGGGCAATGCGAAGGGCCCGTGGGGGTGCAGAGGGGGTGCACCTTTTTTGCACCCTTGTGGGGCCTTCTGAGAGGACGCGCTGGGGTCTCAGGAGGGCCGGGCGGCAAGTCCGCATGCACAGGGCGCTGCACTGGGCGTCCCTGGCTGCTCTCTCGTGATGGGCCGTCAGGGTGGTCACCCCACGACTAGGTGTCCTGGGGTGCAGGTTGCCCTGGGAAGGGGCTCACTCCTTACGAGTCCCCTAATCCTGCTCTCCTCCGTTGCCAAGGCCCCAAGTCAGCTGTGTGGCCACCAAATCATGTGCATCCTCCTTGCCTGCTGCGGCTGTTGCCTGCAGAGACCCCTGACCCTGTTCAGGCCCCCTAAGAGTCTGGTCTGGTTCCTGCAGAGTTGGCGCTTCCGCTCAACCAGCTAAACCCCAAACCCTGCAACTCAGGTTGGGCGGTGGGGGGGGGTGGCGTGCAGAGATCTGTATGGTACCCCAGGGTCCCTGTGCTTCCTGCGCACAGCAAGGCTTACGTGGCCGCCCCATCGCGCTGGCCCATCGGTCAGGGAGGTGTTGGAGGGAGGGATGGGTGGTAGAGGGCAATGCTGGGTCTGGGTTTTTCTGGGTTAAAAAGCTGCCAGATAGATCCTGTTAGAAAATAGTCCCGTGTGGGTTGAAGAGGCCCCCTATCCCAGGGGCAACCCCTCAGCCCCTGCTGTCTCTGCTGCCTTCAGGTTCATGCTGGTCCTGGCCAGCAACCAGCCCGAGCAGTTTGACTGGGCCGTCAACGACCGCATCGACGAGATGGTCCGCTTCGATCTGCCGCGGCAGGAAGAGCGGGAGCGCCTGGTGAGGATGTATTTTGACAAGTACGTTCTGAAGCCAGCCACAGAAGGAAAGCAGTAAGTGTCCTGATGGCCTGGGTGTGTGGGGCCCTGCGTACCCCACCAGCTTCTGGCCCAGGTGCCACACCCAGTCCTAACCCTGTGGTTTTACCTGGGGCTCAGATGTGCTCACTTGCTGGCCCTGTGCTTCCGTCCCAGTCTTTGCCAGGTTTTTGACTCAGCGGCCCATCGTCACAAACTAGCTAGCACCTCCATCCTTTCCTGCTAGGTGAAGCGTCTTTTGACGATTTGGGGCTTTTGAGGAATCCAGGCTGCAGTCCTGCCCTGGGAAGTGCGGGGCCGTGACAGTGGTTGCCAGACCTTGGCTGAGCTCTGCTCACTGAGGCTGTTGGTGGCCGTCCTGGACGTGGGCTCCCTGCTCACCCTGACTCCCAGGAGCCTGGGGCCCCTCACCAGCACGCAGCAAGGCCCCCGTTCTGCAGAAGTCACCGGGCGATGGGGGCGCCCTCCACACTCTGTCCGGGCCACCCTCTCCCTCACTGCTCTCTGTCCACAGTGCTCCAGATACGTGAGGGCCGGTCTATTTTTAACTATCCCCAGGGAGCCAGACCTCGCAGCAGCATTGACCTGAATCCTTCCTGTCGCTGGTGGCAGTGAGAGCTGTCTTCTGTTCTGGGACGGGCTTTGCCTGCCCCTGCTGTCCCCCTGCCCCCTTGAATTCCATTATCTGGGCCTCCTTTCTCCTGTGTGCCCGGATGGCCCCAGTACCCCCCACCCTCCCAGTCGTTTATTCTAGCCTGACTGACACCGAATGTGGTCTGAGTTCCTGAGGCCTCTTTTTCCACGAGTGTTTGAATGACTCTCCTCCTGTGAGCTCATCTCCTGGGTCTTCAGCCAGACCTGACTAGGAAGGGGTCCGCACATGAACCAAAGCAGTGACATGTCACTCTGACCTGGAGGTGTTGGCTTTTCTCCCTTTGATTTCCCACGTGCTTCCTACGCCTGACAGGTCGTGGCTGCTGTGCTGCTAGTTTGGGCGCTCTGAGGGAGAAGGACGCGGTCCCTGCCTCCGAGCCTGGTGGTGGCGCTGTGTGCGAGGCTCCGAGAGCCCCTCCGCTTTGGCACATCCTGACCAGCCCTCCACCTGTCTCTGGAGCGGTCAAGCACTGCTGTCCGTACACGGCCCCCACCCGGGCTCCAGAAGGGAGGGAGGCGCCCAGCGGGTAGAAAGGGCAGGAACCAGGAGCAGATACAGGGCTTCCCAGTACAGGCTCCTGCGCCTGGCAGATACCCAGCCCTCCTTTCGCGTAGGAGCCGAGGGGTCGTCCCGGGCCCCCAGGGTGTCATTGCTCTCCCCAGGCGCCTGAAGCTGGCTCAGTTTGACTACGGGAAGAAGTGCTCAGAGGTCGCGCACCTGACGGAGGGCATGTCTGGTCGGGAGATCTCCCAGCTTGCTGTGGCATGGCAGGTGAGTTGGGGACATGCACCCTGCAGGCGTGAGCCCAACTGGTTGGGAGACACTGAGTCACCTGAAGGCAGCCCGTGCAGGCCCCTGCCCCCCCAGGGTGCTTCTGTTGAAGGATTTTCTGCACACAGATGTCACGCCCTGCTCTACTTCCCAGCCACCACCTGCTTCTGCCCCCACTGCAGGGAGCGTGTGGAGAGGTGTCCTCGGCTTCCCACATTATGGCCTACCTTATCGTCATTGTGGTTTTGGTCCAAATCAGATCAGGTTCTGAAATCAGTTGGGGTTCCCTGGAAGTGAGCCAAGTGTCACATCGGCATCAAGGTCCCACAGACTCAGGCTCAGGCACCACTGGAGTTGGGACGTGGTCTCAAGCCTAGCACGTTTGGGGCAGGTGACTCTACAGAAGGTTGGGGAGACCACGGGGGCATATGGAACTTCCCGTAAGTGGTCTGTGAGCTCATCGCAGGGCGTGTGAGATGAGCCAGGGTATGAATCTGACCTGATAAGGGTTGGGCGTCTCCTTGCGCACTGTGCCAGATGGAGACTGCTGGTGTTGAGGACGTTGTCCGCTCCATACATAATCGGGTTTGCTGTGGGGTCTCGAGGGCAGCGTAGAGAATGCGAGTTGACTTTAGCCTTGTGCTGTGCTGTGACCCAGGGCATACAGCCCAGAGTGGTTCTTGGCATCACCCAATACCCGCTTCCTCCTCTGAAGTGCCCACAAGCCCAGCCCCC